ATCTTTTTCCTACATGCAAAACAATAAGTTTGATAACTTTGAAGCATTATTTAAAATGGACACACACACACATAAAATATCAGCTTTGTGTTTCATCTCCAGAGACTCAACCCGTGTGGTTTCAAGTTACTGGTGAAATGCCAAGGAAACCCCTCCAGCAGCAGATTTCAAAGGACTGTTACAGGAGGGAAATGGCAAGCTTGGACAATTCATTGCTCAGTTCTCAAACAAAAAAACACGTTATAACTTCAGATGCCTCTCAAAAAACCGACCCTTTTCTCCCAAACAATCTGAGCTTTGATGAACTGTTATTTTGCAACACAGTAAGATTAGTCAGGACTAATCCCAGCTGGATTGCCCTGTAGCAAGGATGAGGACAAACAGGTTCTCTGTGACAGAGCTGGGCGATGACAGGCCATGGGCCACAGCCCCAGCCCTGCAGCTCTGCTTGGGAAACCTCCTGCTTCCCAAGCTTCATCAGGAACAACAATAAGCAATGATGTTATATGGGTAATATTTGCATTATTCTCCCTTGGAAAACCCTAGTTTCCATTGCTCCCATTTTGAGAACAAAAACTTGTCATTCTACAGTAGTTGGCATCTTTTTTTTTTTAACAAGGTTATTTGCCTTTTCCTTCCCAGTAATTTATTTTCTATATAACTTATTAATTCCCCACATATGTGTTTTGATAGGAAGCCAAAAATTACTCTGAGAAATAAGTATTGTGCAGCATATCCAACTAAACACTCCACTGATAACACAGACCTAAGGAAGGTAATGAGGAAGAAAACATCTAATACTTCTATAAAGAGACACTTCATTAAGGTAATTAAGAGAATCATTTAAAGCAGTTATGAGGATTATTCAGACACAAAAGAAATTATGCAACGGGGTTTTCACCAAGCAGGCAGACTTACTATTGGTTTATGATGCCTTTAAGAATAACTTTCCGTGGTTTTAATAAGTTTTTGAAAATAGAGACTCATTTCTTGGCAAAGGATAGAGATTCCCTACACCTGGGAAAAGCATAATCAGGATCTTTGTGGGGTTTGTTTTGTTGTTTTTGGGGTTTTTTTTTGTGGGAAGGGGACTTGTTGGGGTTTTTTAATATCACAGAAAGGTTTGGGTTGGGAGGGGCCTTAAAGCTCACCCAGTTCCACCCCTGCCATGGGCAGGGACACTTTCCACTGTCCCAGGCTGCTCCCAATCTTGTCCAGCCTGGCCTTGGACACTTCCAGAGACCACAGAATTCCTGAATCATAGGCTGGAAAAGACCTCCAAGACCACTGAGTCCAATCCTTGACCCATCACCACCCTGTTCACCCAGAGCACCCCACTGAGTGCCACGTCCTGACATTCCCTGGACACTCCCAGGGATGGGAACTCCAAAAGGGGTTTGTGCTGAGCTGGCAAGCAACTGAACAGTTTGTTAAATTGTGAGTAGCTTGCTAAATAATCTTAAAACCCCATTATTTCCCCCAAATCAGCCACTGATGCTACATAGATCCTCACAGGCACTGCGCTCGCTGCTCACCACGTTGTGTTCCACTACAAAGGGAATTGCAAAACCCTAAAACTCTGTCACACATGCAGAACATCCCAGGCAGCTGGGAATTTACCCTTTGCCTCTTGTGAAGATGGGCTCCCACCCCACCTCTCTGCTGTCATTTAATCCCTTGGTGACCCAACAGGGACATTCCTCGTTCAAAACCCTGGGGCAGAGGCATCGCTGCCTCTCGGGGATCTCTCATCCTCCTCCTCAGGGAGAGAAAAAGCAGCATTTGTAACAGCCACACAGGTTGTGATGTTACCTGAAAATACTTCCCTGTCAGCCCTGGATTGCTGTTTTTCCAAAGGAATATGCATTTTTCATTAACATGTGAAAAATGAGGGCAGCATGATGGGCTCCAAGAGAGAGCCAGGAGGCATTTTTCACAATCCCTTAATTAACTCATGAGCCTAAAAGGGTTTTCTCCACTCCCCAACACTGTTTTAACCCCTCATGGTGGTTTCAGTAACCAAACCTCTCCAGCACCACATTTGTGATACAAACGCCCAGGGATCAATCAATGAGACACCTAGATTACACAAGATCATTTATTTCAATATTTTTTTGCACAACCTCACATTTTTGTATCATCTCATGGCCAGGGCACACTGAAATGTTTTCTCCCTTAAAAGCTGCTTTAACACATCTCTGAGGGCTTTGTGACAATGCAGAGTACTCCGCTGCAAATATAAAGTGTCTTTACCCAAATTACAATATTATAAACATATTTGGATATTATTGTACTGGTTCTTCCCCAGGATATCCTTTTTTGCCTTCTTTTGAGTCTGTTTTTCACATGACCCTACATTAAACCTTCATAAATGCACAGTACAGAATGTTCTTCTGCAGCAGCACGCAGCCCTCAGCAGCGTTCCCAAATGTATCCACTTGGGATGCGACTTTGCATCAATTATTTTTGTTCCTCCACTTTTATTAACTTAGGCGCCGACTCAAGTTCATTCTTAAAGTTTGTTTTGCCCAAGCTCGTCACGCTCAGCTGCAAATGCTGGATGCAAGAGCCCCCAGGAACCATCCTAGGGGTTCAGGACTGCAAAAACACACCACGAGCGGTGGGAAAACCCCAAACCCGAGATTTAAAGCCGGAGCTGAGCTGCTGAAGGCGAAGTGTGAACTCGGGGCCCGTCTCGCTTCCCGTGGCCCCGGGGCGGCCATTTTGAGTCCTGCCCCCCAGGCAGCGGGCAGAGCTTTTCTCCGTTCCCCGAGGCACGGCACACCGGGACAGAGCACTGAGCGCGGTGCTGCGGCCCTTCGGCCACGGCGGGGACACCCGGGGGACACAGCAGGGACACCCGGGGGACACAGCGAGGACACGGCGGGGACACAGCGGGCACCGTCCGCCCCATCACCGCGGTGCATTCTGGGAGGCGCCCCGCGCTTGGCGCCAAGCGCGCCCGCGGTCCCGCGCAGTGCATTGTGGGGCGCGCCCTCCCCGGCCGGGCCTAAAGGCGCGGGGCTCCGCACCGGATGTGAC